TATGAACAGCTTAAACTGATAAACTTAAATTGATTTTGTTTCCTTTGGAGATTGGATTAAATTGATTCTGGAGAGATAAAGTATGTTTCACATGTTTGAAGTATTGATTTGTGATGTTCTGGTCAGGAAAAAAGGATTGCTTAATAATCAATACAATATTTTTTGATTTGAAGATTTAGGACATATAATTATGTACAGATGCATACATATGAGATAGATAAATTCATGTTTGTAACTTGAAGCATTGATTGACATATCGGTATATGGTAGATAAATTGATACTGGATTAAATTGATTTTGTACGGATTTTGTTTCCTTTACAAGAGGTAGCAGTGATGGACATTTCAAATAATCATAGTTCTGGAAATGATAATGTCACTCCTAATACTGAATCTTTAACTCCCATTACTGAAACTTCCACTCCTTCTACACCCACTTCTTCATTACGTGCAAAGACTGATCCTGCATAGGCACATGTTGCTTATAAAAAAGAAGGGACACAAAATGTATACACATGCATTTTTTATGGTAATAGTTATAGAGGTGGTGCGATAAATAGAATGAAGCAACACCTTGCTGGTATCACTGGTCAAATATCTTCTTGTAAAAAAGTTTCACATGTTGTACGTCATAGAATGACAAAATCTTTGAAAGAGTGTTCAAAGAAAAAAGCTATTGAAAGTATAGAAGAAGAAATTGAAGAAACTCACATTGATTCTCCAATTATCATGCGTAGTGCAAAAAAAAGAAAAGCTACGGGGAATATGGACAATTATTTTGCTCCTTACACAACTCCTGAATCCCAACCAAGTATTAAAAGTGTATTAGCAACAAAAGAAGCAAAACACAATGTGAAAATGTTGATTGCTGAATGGGCAATTGTGAACTGTATTCCATTTAAAGCATTTGATTGCCTGTTATTTCAAAAAGCTATAAATGTTATTGCTTCAATTGGCCCTGGGTTTAAAGCCCCTAGTGCTTATGATTTCAAAACCAATTTGCTAAGTGATTGGAGAAAAGAATGTCAGTTACTTATTGATAGCCATCGAGCTAAATGGAAAAACAACGGCTGTACACTCATGGCTGATATATGGACTGATGTCAGGCAACGTACTTTGATAAATTTCTTCTACTCACGGTATGGTATTTGTGAAGTCTGTTGATGCATCAGATCTAGTCAAAGATGCTAAAACTTTGTTTACGCTATTCTGTGAAGTTATTGAGTAGATTGGTCCTAAGAATATTGTTCATGTAGTAACTGACAATGCAGCCAACTATGTAGCATGTGGCAGGTTGATTAAGGAAAAATATGAAAGTATTTATTGGTCACCTTGTAACATCCCAAATTTTGGCTAATAGATACAAGTAATAGCACAAGGAAAGGATGATTATTAAGTCCAATGCAATTAAAGTCCCGGAGATCCCTCAGAAGAAAAAAGAGATTTTTCAAAGGCAAATGTGTAAAACAATAGTGTTCGGGGACTAAAGAATGACGAACTGGAAACAACTAAGGGCCAAAGGTTATGCCAGAAACTTGTAAGAGATGGTTCCGAAGGTTAGGCCTAAGGAGGGACCAAATTACAAAGAAAAGATTCCTAGGCCATGAAGGGACCTACTTGTAAATAATAAAAGTTCTGATTGGCCAATGCTCAGAGTTAGCGAAAAGGGCCCAAATGACTTACAAAAATTCTAGAAAAATGGGAATAGGATCCCAGAGTCAATATAAGGCTAGAAATGACGGAAATGCCCTAAAGTCATTTCAGGTTTTTGAGCAATTTGAGATAGTAACTCAAATTGAATTATTTAAGCTGTGAGATGGCCTCGAATAATCAGGAAAATCTGGGAAAAAGTAGCAGAGGAATTATCACAGATTGTAAAAGTAATTCTAGCCCCAGAAAGTGACGAGGCTAGCTTTAATTAAATTTAAAGCATGTTTATACCCTATCCGGGGAAAGTCAAAATAGTTGTCTACAGTTTGACTTTTGACCCAAGAAAAATTAGAGGAAATCCTTGTGATGAAAGGGAAAGAATGAAACCCAGAGACAGATCAACAGAGTTACAAGCCGATAGGAAAGAATTCGGCAAAATCAACTCTGATTGAATATTAATTATTAATATTTTGGGGAAATGAGAAAAGAGTATGATTCCCCTATGAATGTTATTAGAAGAGTATGGGAATGTATTTTGAAGATGAAAAATGTGCTAAACCATGTCCCAAAGGTATCGGGTAAGTCAGGACCCGAGAAAGTACCTATTATGATGTAAACCGGTAAGATAGGTGGAGGAGTATTTTTGGATGAATTTATGCACGAATTTTGTATGATTTTCCTCCCTATCATATTGCCATAGGGGCATGAGGATATGTGTGGAATTATGCAAAAAGATGAAGGGCATATTTGGATTAGGAAAGTTAACCATGGTTAAATTAATTAACCTTGGGTCAAGTTAACCTTGATGACATAAGCAAGATGACCAAGCATGACACAATCCTAGACAAGTGTCACAATTCTTACTAAGGAAGACAAGATCAAGGGCTAAGATTGATTTGAAAATCAATGGCCAAGATTAAGCCATGCAATTTTAAGATCAATGGCTAGGATTTGTCAAAACTTTTTATAAAAATCTTCTCTCCCTCCCTTATGATATTTTCGTCCACCATAAGAGATAGGAGAAGGAAAACGAAATGGAGAGAGGAAGAAGGAGAAGAGGAAGAACTCATGATCCTAAGGCCATCCAAGCTTCAAATCAAGGTATGTTCATGGATTTTGATCTAGTTTCTACCTCCCTTGGTATTTTGAGCTTGGATGTTGGTTTGGTTGGGTTTTTCATGGTTGAAACCTAGGGGGGAGGTGCTGCACGAAATTGTTCAGAATGGGAGAAGATGAAATTAAAGTCATAAACATGTTTAAAGGCTTGAAAACAACAAGAATCAATTGGTTTGATATTGATTCTTCAAGAAATCTAACTTCCCCTTTCATTTGTGTATGATTCTACCATGGCTGTTTCTTTATGTTGGGTCTAGAATTTGATTATTTTGATGCTTCCAATGAGTTTAAATGATGATTTTGTGTAGGGATATATGTAGAAAACATGTTTGGAAGCATTAGAATTGAAAATGAAAATTTTGGACCTAAGGCACCTATGTTTCGGCCAAACCAGAACAAGGGGGAAGGAGTTGGATTTTGATTGTTTTGAACTTGGAAATGGATTCTATATGCAAAATTATGTGAGAATAGCATGTGAAATTAATTTTAGAATGATTGGAAATAAATCTCAAAAGTTAGAAACAAAGTGTGATCAAGTAAGAGCCAAGTGTGGAATAGGTTGATAACTTGTAATTGATGTTTCACGTAATGTGTTGATGTGTTTAGGACCTTGGAACATCCAAGGGGATGTCTTGTTTATGTCAACTGAAGGCTCAAACACTTGGAAGGTTAGGGGAAGCAAACGGAAAGCAAGAGGGAAGCTATGTTACAAGGTAGTGAACTTACCTATTTTGTGTGCTTGATATGTATGCTTGCATGATGTTATTATGTTGCCATGATGTGACTAAGTTATAATGAAATGTTGCAAGGTTATGTTTGCAAGTTTATGTTATGTTTTGCCTCGGCAATATGTTATGAAAGCATGAAATGCTTTGGCTTACTTTCCATGGCATTCCTATGATGATGTTATGATAACATGTCGTGCATTTGCATTATGTCTTGCATACTTATGGGTAGTGTTTGCTACTGAGATTCCCCTGAATCTCACCCTCCCTTAACAACCCCTAATAGGTATAAAGGGCATGGAGGAAAAGTCAAGGATGAGGAATGCAGGATTGATGGAAGAAGTCAAGAACATGTTATGATCTTATAACATGTTAAGTTATGTAACATAGTTTATCAATTTATGTTTGATATGCCGTGTATGTGGAATGATGATATTAAATGTTCATGATATGTAAAATGGTATGAGGTTATGTATGGAGATATTATGTGGATTTATAGCATGACAAGAGGTGGAGAATTAAATTGTTTATAAAGATTGAATTAAGTTAAAGGGATAGAATGTCCCTGAATGAGTCACGAATTGGTGCCAATGATGAGGCAGATCAAATGAATGAATTTAGCCATGAAATTTGGTGACTATATAGGACACATCCTAAGCTTTAAAACAAGTGGTAAAGCATGAAAAGTGGATGTGTATGCTAAGAGATATGGCTGTTCAAAGTAAAGACAGGATTTTTGGAAAGTACTGTTTCGACCACTTGAACAGTAATATTTAACGAAAAAACTGTACTAATTGGCAAGGTTTGAGCCCTGAAAGTTATTTTTCTCTTGTAGAAGATTGAAAGAGCTTTAAGTGAAAATTGGAATCGCTCTATTCTGATTTTTGTAGAATTAGTTATGATTTTTCAAAGTTGGACCTGAAATCTGGAGTTTAAATAGTGAAAAGTAACCCAAGTAATTATGTTGAAAATTTTAATCCACGGGCTTGTACTTTGATCTGCTTGAACCATAACGCTTACAAATGTGTACTCTAAGGGGTTAAAGGTAGGATGTTTCACACCTTGTGCTGCTTATTGTTTGAATCTTGTATTGAAAGACTTTTCCAGCATGCCTCATGTGTCAGACCTCGCATCAAAGGCATCAAAGGTGACTATATTTGCATATAATCATATGGTTTTTTTATCATAGCTGAGGAAAAGACTGAGTTGGAAAGAAATTGTTCATCCTAGTGCCACAAGATTAGCTACGACATTTATTACATTGCATAGCATATATATGCACAAAAATGACTCGCAGGCTCTAATGGTTGATAAGCACTTTGTGGACCATAGATTATCGAAGACTGAAGCAGGACAAAATTTTTGTGCAATCATTTTAGATAATTGGTTTTGGAATGATTGTTATCAAGTTGTGAAGATTGTATCTCCTCTCATCAAATTATTGAGAATTGTGGACTTAGATCAAAAACCTTCATTACCTTATGTTTATGAAGGAATGCGAAGGGCAAAAATGGCAATTAAGGAGATGTTTAAGAAGAATAAGGAACTGCATAAGCCTTACACAACAATCATTCAAACTCGATGGGATAGACATCTGAAGACTAATCTTCATGCGGCATCGTATTTGTTGAATCCTACATTTACATATGGTCCAGACTGTCCTAGCAAGTCAAAATTGATGATGGCTTTGATTGATGTTGTGGAGTCTTACTTAGATGAGGATATTGATGGCTTCCTGGTAATTAAACAAGCGACTACTTATCACGAAGGAAAGGAATCTTTTAGTAGACCCTCATGTTAAAAAGCTGCACAAAAACTAGACCCTTGTAAGTATTATATTCAATTATTCATGGTTATTCACTAATTTTATATAATATTGGATACTAAATGTATTTTATTATGTAGATGAATGGTGGACATATTATGGTTGTTTAGTTCCAGAATTGCAGCGTGTTACAATGCGTATTCTTAGTCAAACTTCTGCTTCTTCTGGTTGTGAGAGGAATTGGAGCTTATTTGAAAGAATTCATACCAAAAGAAGAAACAGATTGGAACATAAAAGGCTGAATGATTTGGTTTTCACCAATTATAATCTGCGACTGAAGCATAGGTAATCTTGAAAATTGTGAATACCTTTAGTTTTTTATTTTAATTGATTCATATTTATTTGAAATTTTATTTGTCATCAAAGGATTACATTGAAGAAGAGCAAAAGTTATGATCCAATTGACTATGAAAACATTGATATGGTGGATTTTTGGGTTGCTGAAGAAGATCCCACTCCGAAATTTGATGATAGAGATGTGGCTTCATTCGAAAGCATCCTTAACAATGAGGGCATTGCTAATTCAACAACTTTTGAGAAGGCTAATGAAGGTTTATAACTTTATACATATAATTAAGACTTTATTTCTATACAAATATATAATTTTTTGTATGATTATTAATATTGATCATTGTTTTACATAGGTGATGAAGATATGGACATTGCTGACCCTCCACCTTTACAAGATGATGTTGTTGCTCCTGCTTTTCCATGTCCAGCTGTTGACATCTTAGTCCATGCCAATGATCTTAGTGATGATTTTGATTTTCCATAGTGAAGATGTGCATTTCATTAATATTTGCCTGGTACTATTAAACATTAAACCAAATTTTGTAGCTTCTCATCTTTTTTTTAGTGATTATTATTTATAAATTTTGTTTCATTTTAATATTATGAATTAAATTATATTATTTTAATATGACCGGTCTGACCCCGGTTCGACCTCAGTTCGACTAGTAACCCTTGACCTACTGTCTTGACCGGTTTAATGTCTGGTCCAGTTTTTTGTTCCTTGGAAAAAATCATTTTCAAAATCTAGCATGCTTAAAAGTCTAAGGATGGCATGGTTTTCAAGAAAAACTGTTTGATGCAATGAGGGTATATGAAAAAAGCATAGGTTTGCTTGAAAAAGATACAAAGGTAACTTAAAAAGGTTCCTCCTACACAGTAATGCCAAAAAGCAAAGAGAAGGATAACGATGCTCAGCAAAAGAGTCCAGGTCGCGACCTGAATACAATGAAAGGGAATAGAAAAATTAAAAAAAAGAAAACAAAACAAAAGAAAAGAAAAAACAAAGAAAGGGAATAGAAAAATTAAAAAAAAAAAGTATTGTTTGGGATAAGTGAGCTTGATTGAGTTGTCATCTATATTCCTACATATCACAATCAATTCCATACAAGCATTTGATTCATTCTAATTTCCATTCTCCTTATCTCCCTTCCATTACACCCATGCATCTAACCCTCTATTCATTTACCTATCCAATATTACAACCTAATAAAAGTCCTATTGATTTTTTGTGTCATTGCTACTAGTGGTAGAGAGCTTAGAACCATTACAAGTATAAGGCAAAGCATAGTAAAGTGGATGTTAAGTGAAATTACCCTCTAAGAGTTAGAGTGAAACACTTATACTTAGTGCATTCAACACTTTGCTTAGTTCTTTTAGCATATGACATGAGTATAGATTGGATGTGAGTACGGAATTATGATTGCCAAATATGACTCTTAATGCTTGCATGGTTCATTTAGTCCTACCTCTTATTTTGCATTGAAGTGTTTTGCCTAGGAGTGTAAAAGCTAAGTGTGGAGGAGTTGATAAGTCTTATATTTTACATATATTTTTTAGTCCAAACTTATGTTTTTGTGGCTTTTAATTGTGTAATTTGGGTTAAAATAGAGATTTTTGTACATCAAGGATATAAGAGTCAATTATGTGCTTTTATATGATAATTCTTGAGTTTTATTCATTCATTGGTTCTTATGTATCCCACATACCTTGGATTATATGACTATAGGCTTAATTTGAATATTGTAGGTGATTAGAGGATTGAAGAAATATTGGAAGAAGGTTCTACCTTACATCACCACGACCAACTCTAGGCTTCGTCGCAAGGAACATTTCTTATGAAGGAAATAGCGTCACTTATTCAAACAGCATTGTTTTGGCTTCGCCGCAGCGAAGTAGCAAAAATTTCCAAATTTAAATTCCATAACACGTGCCAGATCCTTCATTCTGTGATTTTTCCATTCCAACTTCATTTTCTCCATCTAAACTGTCTTAACTTCAGTCTTCCTCACCTCCCATCATCAATTCATCATTTGTACCCCAATTCTTCCACTTTCTACTAATTATTCTACTATATTCTCCTTCAAATCATTGTTGCCATGGCCATTGAAGTTGCAAAGCTTGGTGAAGCTGTGGTTTCAGTCATGAGAGGCTAGATCTTCATTCCTTGATGCTCAATGAAGCCAATCTAAGTTCCTAGAGTTGCAATTGGAAGTTTCTTCTACCTTAATCTTAGTTTCACTCTACATTCATAGATTATAATTTTTAAAGTTCATATATGTGATTTGTTATTGTACAAAGGTGTGATTCTATTGTTTTACATAAAGACTAAGATTTGGATTGTATTTTGCACTCTAATTGATTCATTGAATTGATATTTCCTTCTGTTATATTGATTCTTTCTTCTCAAGTGTTTAAATCTCTTGATTGACTAGTTAGGTTTCTAACATTGTTAATTAAGAGAGTAAAATACCTTTTTCAGAGCATAATCCACACTAGATATAAAATGAGTTTGATGAGTTAGGGTTCTAGCTTATTGAATTCATTATTTGTAGAAGGTCTTCACAAACCAAGTCTAATAAAGGAATTAAAACTCAATTAAGAGAGGAACTAGGGTGATTGGTGAACTTGATCATCAAAGATAATTCATACATTACATTCATCTTACTTACTAAATCTAGAAATTACAAAGAGTTTAGATAGTTTTACTTTAAGTTTTTGTATAATCATTGGTTACACAAAGACTTCATGCATCATACTTTAAGTCTCATATTTTACATATATTTTCTACTCCAACCTTATGCTTTTGTGGCTTTTAATTATGTAATTTGGATTAAGATGGAGATTTTTATGCATCAATAAGAGTCAATTGTGTACATTTATATCATAATTCTTGAGTTTTATTCATTCATTGGTTCTTATGTATCCCACATAGCTTAGATTAGATGACTATGAGCTTAATTTGAATATTATAGGTGATTAGAGGATTGAAGAAATATTGAAAGAAGGTTTTGCCTCACTTCGCTACGCCAACTCTAGGCTTTACTGCGATGAACGTTCGTTATGAAGGAAACATCGTCACTTATTCAAACAGCATCATTTTGGCTTTGCTGTGGCAAAGTAGTGAAAATTTCCAGATTTAAATTCTAGAACATGTGCCAGATCCATCATTTTGTGATTTTTCTATTCCATCTTTGTTTTCTCCATCCAAATTCTGTCAACTTCAGTCTCCCTCACCTCCCCACCATTCTACATCATCAATTTATAATTTCTACCCTAATCCTTTCATTTTCTACTAATTATTCTACTCCCTTCTCCTTCAAATCATTGCTGCCATGGCCATTGAAGTTACTAAGCTTGGTGAAGCTGTGATTTCAATAATGAGAGGCTAGATCTTCATTCCTTGATGTTCAATGAAGCCAATCTAAGTTCCTGGAGCTGTAATTGGGAGTTTCTTCTACCTTAATCTTAGTTTTACTATCTACATTCATAGATTGTAATTTCTAAGGTTTAGATCTGTGATTTGTGATTATACAAAGGTGTAATTCAGTTGTTTTACATGGAGACTAAGATTTGGATCATATTTTGCACTCTAATTGATTGATTGAATTGATATTTTCTTCTGTTATATTGATTCCTTCTTCTCAAATGTTTGAATCTCTTGATTGATCAGTTAGGTTGCTAACATTGTTAATTAAGAGAGTAAAATACCTTTTGCAAAGCATAATCCACATTAGACATTTAAATGAGTTTGATGAGTTAGGGTTCTAGCTTATTCAATTCATTGTTTGTAGAAAGTCTTCACAAATCGAGTCTAATAAAGGAATTAAAACTCAATCAAGAAAGGAACTAGGATGATTGGTAGACTTGACTATCAAGGATAATTCATACATTCCATTCATCTCATTCACTAAATCTAGAAATTACAAAGAGTTTAGATAGTTTTACTTTAGGTTTTAATATAGTCACTAGTTACACAAACACTTCATACATCATGTTTGGTTAATTTGATATTTGTGATAGATTACTAAGACATTCATAGGTTCCTTAAAAGATCAACATCTAGGATAGTGCCAATTGCGTTTAGTTTAGTTTTATTTGACAGTCTAACGACAGGGCTTCATCACTTTGCTTATTAATCATTGATTGAGTTGGAGAGCTTGGTAATAAAAGATTTTAGGTTGTCTTGCTTGGTTTCCTATTACTCAAGCTTGTTAAAGACAGTAACCAAGCATAAGTCTATCTTGTTGCCCATAACTGCTAATCTAGCCTAAGTACTAGATTTCTCCTTTTCCAGTTGGGAGGCTAAACCTAAGCTTATCACTCTAAGCAAAAGAAGGTGCTCTTTGATTGGGTACAAACACCTTAGAATTTTAAAATTGATTGGTGGAGTGAAATTGGTTTCCTTGTTGAAACTAGTTCTGATTGATTCTATCATTAGTTTTGCACCATCTTAAATTCGGGTGATCCTTCCATGCATCATTATAAGTGTTAGAGAAAAGAAGGGATTTCCTTTCTAAAATTGCCTAGGTCAATCTTAAAACATAGCAAATACTTCTTCATAATGAGATAGGCATACACTTGAGATGTACATAGGAAAAGCACAATATTCATAGCTAGGTGTTGTTAAGGCTTGTGTCTGAGAACCTTCCATGCTCAAATTGTTAAGTCTTAAGGAGATCTTGGCTACTTCAATAGTCAACTTTGCCAATAGTGACTCCCTCTGATTCAGTAAAGAGCTTCTAACTTTATTCACAGTTCTTGTATCCATCACATTGCATTGTTGGTTGTTCAAAGCCATCCTTCTGATCAATTCCCAGGCTTCATTGGTAGTCATGTCAATTAAGGAATCTCTTGCTACAGCATTCAATATACCTTTATCATGTGGTAATAAACTATCTTGAAAGTACTAAACCAGTTGCTCTTTAGGTATTTGGTTATACGGGCACTTGGGCAATTGTTCTTGAAAGTAGCTCCAGAATTTATAGAATGTCTCTAATGCATCTTGTTTGGTTGAGTATATCTCTTTTCTCAATTGTGTAGTCTTGGATGTCGAGAAATATTTTTCTAGGAAAGCTTTTTTCAAGTTAGCCCATGATTGATAGGCATCAGCTACATGATGAGGTAGCATCATATACCATTCTTGGGCTTTCCCTTTGAAGGCAAGATGGAACGTGTTCCATTGAACGTCATCTATTTTTGCCCCAACCAACTTCTTATGCAAACATGCCATGTAAAGTGTACTGAGATAGTTGTATGGATTTTCACCTGTCAGTGCATAAAAAATAGGAAGTAAGTTGATTAAAGGACCTTTGATTTCAAAATTAGCTTCAACATTAGGACAAACAACATGAAAAGGATCATAATTCACATCAGAGGTGATTGCCTCCCTACTAGTTGTTCTTCTTGGGTGGTTCTCTCTATTGTTTTCTACTACTCTCTCATACCCAATTGCCTCGTTTCCTACATAAGCACCATTTCGGTTTA